GAAAAATTTTCGCTATAGATCATCGTTGTAAAATTTTTTTTTTTGAATGTGTCTTATCAGTTTTTTTTTCTTATACTACTCGCCTAGGTCTTCTCACTCATGATATTAACTATAAATTCATAGAAATTTGAATATATAGGTTGGTATTTGCAATGAATAGTTCGTATCTTAATTGACAATGACAGCTGTTATCGGACCCGAATATGGTTAACCTTCTTAACTTGCAATACATCTAAAAATCTTCTATTATTTTTTATTTTATTATTATCGAACATGAATTTCAATATTTATACAAAAAATAACCTTGAAAATTTGTTTGATTATGCATTTACATAATAACATTTTTATTTCTTTAATAAATTTAATAATAGTATTTTTTTTTCACATTAATTATACATAAACAAAAACAATAAGCTTATATTACTAATCAAAGACAAAATAATAAAATTCAATGAACCGAAACACGTAGTTAATCTTTTCTTTCACCACTGTACACACAATATGAGTAAAAACCAAACGAAAATATATAATGATTGGCTAAATATCAAAAAAAAAAAGCGCCCCCCTTCGAAAAGAAATGAGTCAAGAACCCATCGATGAAAGAAAAGAGAAAGAGTGAATGCCAACGCAAATATATATATATATATATATATATAGCAAGATATGCCATCACTGATATTATTATATTTTATGCTGTCCTTTTGTGATTGGTTTGCTTTTGTTGCTGTTTCATTTAGCACGTATTGAAGCCATAAGTTACCATATTAACTCATTTTACAGATTGATATGTTAAGATCATCTCAAGTAAATTATTAATTTTCGAGAAGATTAGTTGAGAAAGTATACAAGATTCATATAATAGAACCTTTTTTTTTCTTCACTTAATTGTTGCGAACAACATAAGACAATAAATGAAAAAAAAAAACAAACTTTAATATTTATTTTCTTTTTCAAGGTCTTTTTACATTTTTCTTGTAGATAAAAATATAAAAAAAATAAATAAATTTCAATATCAACTGTTATTTAAGCAAGTAGATTTATATATATTTTCATAATTTCCAATAGATGCTTCGATTAACATGAAAATATTTAGTCCCAATATTCTTACAAAATATCGTTCTGATTATCTTGGACATACTCATGAATATGATCAAAAAAATTTTTTTTTTTTCTTTCCTATTTTACAATAGAAAGAAAAAAAGAAATATATATATGAAAGTATTAATACCAATAAATCAATCACAAACTGAGATTGTTGCACATTTATAATCATCTATGTATATGTTGAAATTTTCAATTTATGTTTTTTCTTTTTTTGGTTCAAACAAAGAAAATCTTCTGATGAAAAAATTTACAAATCATGTGAAAGATTCAAATTTCTCACTACAAATTATTACAGGTTGATTTTTTCGAGTTCATGTTTCTCGAAAACTTCAAATTCGACTCAACATTTCGGAGGAATCTAAGATGCACGGAATTATTAAAAGAAGTTTCAATACCTTTGACTCTATAAAATTCTATATATAGAATTGTTAAATTATTAGTCATAGATCACCAATTAGAATAAATTAAATGAATGCATATAAATGTTTACATAATAATTTATTCATTTTCTTTTTTTGTTTCTTGTCGACACCTTACAGCCAATAATTATCAAGCAAAGTCACTGATTCGAAGAAAAACTATCGATGTATAGTAAGCAATATGCATCATATAATTAAAAAAAGCGTAGGATATAGAAAGGCATGTGTTATAAACAAAAAAAGAAGAAAATAATAGATTGATAGTCTATTTTGATTGATTTCATTATGAATCAATATTTCATAGTTTTTATTCTATTCTATGTTTAAATTTTCGATGCATGATAAGAACAAAAAAAACGACGTTGTATTATTATGTCTTAGTCATAACATTAATAAACTATAGTGAATTTAAGTGTTGACATTCTGCTCTACCTGAAGTGCAATTGAAATGATAAAAATAATGTATCTAGCCAAAATTGCCTTGTTGTTAGGGGAGTCCCCTTCTTCTTTATCTGACCTTGAGATTAATAATGACATAGAAATACATCGAAAGCAATACGTATTTTTCTTGTATATTTAACAGGTATCATTTTTTTTCTTCACTAATAGTATTAATCGATGATATATTTTGTTTCATGATCTTGTCTATTTTTTTCAAATTGTTTATTTTCTGTAGTTTTTATTCCACTTATTGATTTTGTATTTAATAGTCATTTTATCGTTTGCTATTACATCGATGACTATCTGTATGAATCTCTTTGTGTCAATCCTACGCATTCATTTATTATTTATGATTACTCTTTTTCGATTATATCTCACTTCATTACTTTACATATACTCGTTTTCTCTCTCTTTTCTCTTTCTCATATCTTATTGATTGTCATCAAAACCTTACTTATTATTTATTCACTATATTGGTAAGTTTTTATTCATCTTCAATTCAATATAATTTTTGCTTATAATTTCTTACTTCAAAATTTTATTTTGAATTGTATTTTAAAAGTTAATTCTAAACATACTTAAAAGCTATTTGATTAATACGAAATTTATCAAAATTTGCAATATCACTTTCCAGCGATTACGTTATCAACAATGTTTGTTTTCGAAGATTCTCGAAAATCGTATTTGTATACATTAGCAATTTTTTCATATTATGTGTATTAATATTAATTATGAGATTGTGACAGGTGATTAGCAAATTTATTAATCGATCTAATTATTATTCAAATAAGTTAGCAATTAAGACGATATAGTACATATCTAAAAAAAAAAAAGTGAATAAAAAGACTGATTGTTTTGAAAGAAACTAAACGATATTATGAGATATGTAATCAATTATATGTTCTTATTCAGCAGAATTAGCAAAAGCTTTTTTTTTTTATACGATCCATTGATGTTTGTCCAATTTAGAAATCTTTGTATTAAATGTAAATATGTTCTAGGTCACGATTTATATAACGATATTGTTTGATAGTCATAAAGAAAGGGTTATTTTGATGATTAATAGACATTACCTGAATAATAAATAAAGACGTCAATGGCAAGGATTTGCTTTTTTTTCTCATTTGAAAGAAAAGAACAAATGTTAGTAAAAACGAAAACAATATTTAATATAATATATATTTGTATAAGAAAAGGAAATATTTAACGCTTGACAAACAAATTTTCATGTAATTTTGTTTTCTAATGTATATCGATTTGTTTCTTTTTTTTCGACGAAAAATTGAGATCTGTAAGTTTGATAGCAACCAACAACTATGTAACGATGAAAATTGATAGTTAAATTAAAATAATTATAAACATTATTATTTGTAGCGCTTCTATCGATTATGATTCACTAACAACAGATAAATTAAGCATAAGTTTTAGTTTTACTTCTTCATAATTACATATATGAAATATTCTATAAATTTATAATTTTTCATCAGGATATATAATATTTTTATTTATTTGATATAGAAAATTTTTTTATTTAATTGAAGATCTAGAGAAAGTTATTGTACTGAATGACCTAAATTTGATCGCATTCTATTTCTTGAGTCATCAAAACTTGTGTATCTAAGATTTGCGTTTTTTTTTTCGTCTTCATTCGTAACAGTCGGAATCAGAAATAGTGATATGATAGAAAGAACAAGAAAAGGTATTCAGAACGAAAAAAACAAAGGCTAAGAATAGAATTGAATTTAACAAAATAATGTCATAAATTCTCCTTTGGTATTCAATACGAACTTAAATAGTGTGTTCTATTTAGTTCAGATTTCTCGTGAGTGATGAATAAAGAGAGATTATATATGCTCTTTTCTCCCTCATGTGTGATACTCCAAAATATATTCAGCAATTTAAATCTGTAGTTTCGAAGTTTGTAAACAACATCGAATAACTAAGTGATTTTCGTATTACATTCAGTGAAACCAGAAATTTGATAATGACAGATTTAATATGAACGATCGCACTTCTATATACTCAAAAATATTTTTACTTTTATTTCGTTGTCTGTAGAGTTGTGTAACATACTCTGGAATTTATAAAATAAAATAATTTAAAAAGTTAGTTCTTTTGTTTTTTTAAGTGACAATGTATCTTTCAGAAAATTAATCAAGTCTAATAAAATAAAAATTTTATGGTAAAAATATTTGACAAATTCAATATCTAAAGAGGAATCCGATCTATTCATTTCAAGCAATTTTTCTCTGTTTAGTAATTCTCAGCTGTTGAGAATCACACTAATCCATATTGACTTAAATAGTTTTATTTGCATAATGACAAAAAAAATAAATGATAATGACATGAAAAATTCGAAAATTTTGATATAATGTTAAGAAAAAATTAACGAAGTATCTTCGTAATGAAAAAAATATTTATTTTGATTTGATTTTTCATTATTTTTAGATAAAACACTCCTTTGTAGGACAGTACAATTGTAATCAATTGATACTGTGATTTATTATCTATTAAAACAATATTCGATGGTACTTCATATACATATATATGGCCAATACACATGCTCAAACCATGACAAGTCAATTCGATGATAGTCAGTGTAAAGAATTTATTATATTCGACTTTTTTTGATAAAATCATAAAATATTCAGATTATCTATCCTAATCATTTGAAGAATATTTACATAATGAACACAATATTATAAACAAAAAAAATTTTTTTTTTCTGATCCTTTTTCATTACTGTTAATAACATATTAATTAATAATAATTCAATACATTGTATTTAAATGAGACAAGAATTATAAAAACACTGATAATTTCTATTTACAAACAAAATTCATGATACAATTTCAAATATACAATATCTCATGATAAAACAATATGATCTGACGGTAATCACAATTTCTTGCTGAAAACTTAGAAAAAATAAATCATTCTAGAATTTTTAATATCATCATAGTCTTGCGAGTCACTTTGACACAATTATCGAATTCACTATTTAGATAATTTTAATCAAATCTTCGTTAACGACAAATGAATTTTTTTCTCTGTTTTATAGAACTTTCTGAAGAAGTTATAGAAGTGCCATACGTTGCAGCTACACAGAATGAAGGTATGATTATTTGTTGAACATATGTAGTTTCATGTAAATATTTTTAAAATCATTAGATGAAAAAATAAATCATGATATGGTATTCAATGACAATCCGATTAATTTGGAATTCGGAAATACAAAACCTTACTGTACAGGTTCTTTCTTCAAATATGATTTTCGAGTAGATCATATTCTATATTTTAGATAAAAAACGATCTCGTATTATGCAATGTAAGTTGCATTGTTTAATTTAAGAAAAATTTTTATAATATAATATATTCTATTGATCATTGTAGTTCTGATGAATGAATGGATACTTTCTATAATTTTTGTGATTCTTATCCTTTATTTTGGTAAATACTTTTGAAAACTTTTTGTTCATTACTTTCTTTTGTCGTACTATTTGTCTAGGTCATATTCATCTGGCTCTGAAATTTTTACCATTACATATGAAAGTTTTAAAAGCATCTGATTCATTAACGTGTCCCAGAAGAAATAATACTTATCAAAGTAAGAAAGAAATAGAATATTTGATTTTTATTTTGTGTCTATCAATAATGTATTACCTATATTATAGATCGTATTATGGAACAAAATAATAAATATTACTATTCAAATAAAATAGTACCAAATATACTCGATATTAATATCAATGATAACAATAACATACCGATAATATATTACGGTAGGTAAATTATTTAGAAAATATTCTGTTTAATATAACGCTTGATAAAAAATATTAAGAGTCAAATGATGAAGATATGTCGAAGCAAAGTTCTACAATACCGATATTTCATGATTTAAGTTGTACATTATATGATATATTTCGATATGCATTTATTAAATTTTTATGTTGGAAAGATGACATCCGTAATATTATTCCAACTGAACTTCAAAATGGTAGATATTCATATTTTTATAGTAATATAGAAATTTTTCTTTTAATATTGTTGTTTAGAAAAAGCTGATATGTCAATGAATTATGCTGATGAAAAAGCAGGTTTGTTAATATTTTGTCATATTTGTTACTTTTACGAAAAAAAACTAAATAATATAATTAGATCAAACATTATCATGTATTAAAAAATTCTTTTTGGATATTATCAATATTCGACAATTAAAGAAAAAAAATCTTACAAACGAACAATGTATTTCACGTACATTATCATTAGGTATAATTAGAAGATTAATTTCTTTTTTTTTTATGTTTGAAATATTTCCTTTTTTCTTATTTTCAATATAGATACATCGTTTGATCAAATATTACAAACTGAACGAGAAAATTTGAATAAAAATGAAGTTACTGCTCAAAAACTTATACCTTCTGTTCGTTCAACGAATATAGACATATTTAATATACATAAGATATCGAAAAAATAATCTTTAGTTTTCTTTTTTACTCTCTAAAATTTTGTCCCGGTAAGATGTTACTATGAACTGTGTTCATTAGTAATTAACATAATTATAAATTGTTTTTGAAATGTATTTTCTATTACTTTTCACAATTGAAGAAAAGAAAAAGAATACGAAAATATTTAATTTACATTCAGTGATTTTACCTGTGATTATTGATATAAATCTTGAGTAGTAAAAAACAACTAGGAATTACTAATTCAAATTCTTCTTTATATTTTGAATATTATTAGATTTTGCATTGGTTTTATAATTAGAAAAGTAATATTCTATTTGTTCTTGTATTGTGAATTTTATTTTCCTTTTTACATAAAGTATTTTCGAAACATAAAATTGTATTTGACATCTACGCTTGTAATTTAACTTCTTTTTTTTCTTCAATATTATTGTTGCTTTGTTTTATTCACAAAATACATAAAATGTATAAAAATAATACAGTATGAGACATATCGGTAATCTTAAACTAGAGATGTTCGAACTGAAAGTCAAAGAAATAACTGATATTTAATTAGTTTGAAATAAAAAACAAATCACTTATTCTAAGAAGATAATTTGTACATTTAGAGAATGAATTCTATCATAATCAAACAAAAAAATCTGATATTTGAGTTTTTTTCACCTTGTATACAACGCAACTTATGTAGGTGGTTTTATTAACTCGAACGATATGTCGTAATAAAAGCAAAATTGCGCAATAGAAAGGTCACTAAAAATAACAAAATGAAATAAAAGTGCATATCAATATTTTGCGAAGATTTTTTTGTGAATACGAATTTTTTTTTTTTAGACTTAGGAAATATCGTTTGTTAAAGCATTTCTTACATATGATTAAAAAAATACAGAAGAAATGCTGTCAATCGAACAGCAAAGTAACAGTTACAAATATCTTCTCAATAATGAAAACGTTTTTTTCTTGTTCGTATTACGTACAATGAAATATTTCTACGTTTTTATTATAGGTAATGAAGTTTCAGTTTCAAATTCGTCTTACTGATCTATAGTTTATTTCGAACTAATAAAGTCAGTAACTTATAACATAAGTCCTTGATGTTCTATTTAATTGTGTTTTCTTTTTTTCTTGATAATAAATCATAGAATTTTTTTTGTACATGCGTCATATCAACAAATATATGTGACACAAATTTTCAAAGATTGTGCAATATGAAAGAAAAAAGAACACGCCATCGGATGGTATTTTCATCGGTTTTATTTTTTGCGTTCATATATTTTCTTCTCTTTTTGTCTTTCTGTCGCTCTGTGACTCTATCTCTCTGTCACTTTTTGCGCTTCGCTACGGTTCTCTATTCTTCTCTTGTTATTTTCTTTTTTTTGGTTGCTTGATCAGAGAATAACAAATGAAACATACGCAATATAGTTTACTCTCTCAGTAGTATATAAATAGATAAGAGCAACATCAGATTATTGTATTAGATTCATCAACATAACGACCAATATAAAAGAACTGTAAGTATTTCATAGGTAACTTTATTACAAAAAAATTATAGAATGAATATCAGTGTACGATGTCTTTATCCATATGATAACATCTGATAATCGTTACATATATTGTTAAGAAGATTCTTCAAAAATTTCAAGTAAATCTTACATTATTTAGTTAGTTTTTTATTTATAGAGCATTTAATATGTTTAGTTTGTTTGTTTTTTTTGAGAATAAATTTTAATAACAAAATTTTCTAAATAGTGATTTATTTTGAAAAATTAAATAGTATAAAATTAATTTATTAGAATCGTTTTTTTTTTGTACTTTTGTTCTGTAAATTAGATGAAATCTTTTGTAGAATCCTAATTCTTTTATTTTATTTATATCCCTTTCTCATAACAAACTATATTTCTTTGAAATAGTTTTTGGTATAGAAATTAATTCTTGCTTTTTTTTATTGATAGCTATATATACACACATAGATATACTGATGAATAATTTAATGAGACAATATTAATTTTGCAGAAAAACTAAAAAGATGTTTCTTTTTTATAGAATAAACCAAAAAATCTACAATGCTGTGACCATGAAATATTACATTTTGCCCGTCTATGATTCGAAATTTATTTTCTCTATCATGAAAAATCGTTTGCTATGATTTAGTTTAATTATTTACAAGAGAATAAGTATTTCGTTTCGTCAGACTTCGAGATATCAATGGTTATATATATATATATCATATTAAATTTATTTCAATGTTCGTAACATACCAGAAAAACAAAATATCAATTAATTTGATATAAGGTGTAAAAACAAAATGTGCACTTATAGTTTTTCATTTTAAAAACAATCATATCATTTTTCACCAACAAAAAAACAAGAGAAATTATTCAAATACAATAAAATATTACTTTTTTGTGAATACTTTATATAGTTCTAGATTTATTTTCATAATAACTATAACTCATAAACAAATCTCTAGAAGACTATACTCTAATTTAAAGAATACTTCAACTATAAATTGATAAAAAAATATTATATATAAGGTCACGCTAAACGCTTACTTAAGTTAACAAAGATTTTTCTTCAATAAATTTTTGAATATTATGTATGCATTAGTTTAATATAAGTTCTCATAGTGAAACTAATTTCAAAAAACATATTCGGCAATCATCATAAGAAAAATAGTAGATAAAGTTACCGAATGTATCATTTGCAATATGTAACATATTTTAGCTGCATTAGAAGAAAACCAAAATCTAGAGAAGATATTTTACATTATAATCTTGCCTTTATTTTTACTATCAACTAAATGCTTCATTTATCTTCAATTTTAGTTTCATATTTTACACGGAAATGAAAAATGAGAATTCACAGTGTAAAAGAATTTGAAAAACATTTCGAAATAAAATGTATTGTAAGAGCAGTAGTAGTTCTATGGTTATACTCTATTTCAATCAAAGGATCATATTTCAGAGATTTTGTTCATTATTTCTAGATCTTATAATTATTGTCAGAATACGTCTATATTTATATGAAGTAAAAACCAAAAAAGGAATGTTTGATGTTGTTTTAAATAATTGCTTTCTATGTTTATTAATAAACAAATATGATATAAATAATTTTAAAATGAACTATTAACTTTTATCGATCTTTAATTGATATTTATTTGTAATTGTAGATTCATATTATTATCTTTGACGTAGTTACAATCTTGTCCAACGATGTGATTTTAATGCGAGAAGTACATATAGAAACGAAGAAAAAAGAATGTTTTTATTTGCCTTTTTATATCGTCAAGAAAAATGCGTGTAGAAAAAAAAAGACTTCGAATGAAATACGAGAGAGAGAAAAATAGAAAAAGAGTAGTGAAGGTAAACGAGTACCGATAGTTCCTACGAGAAATAAAAATCGACAATTGTCTATATTATTCATAAAAGGACAAAAGGTGTATTTAATAGGAGTCTATACGTTAGCCATTATGAACGTAAAAAAATAAAAGAAAAAAAAAGTCGAATGGTTATTTTTTTACATCATCATGATGACGATGACAAAAATCAGAAAAAAAACCAGGGTAAAAGGAAAAAATATATAATTCCGTAACAATAAAAAGAACGTAAAAGCACCCTCTGACATGATATATAAAACCTGATAAATGTTACATTTGTTTCAAATACAATGTTTCGTGTATTCATATGATAAGTAATAGTTTTCAACTTTTTTTTTCTGTTGTACTTTTTCATTTGTAATGAATTTAAAATATTCATCCTCTAGATAGATATTCTCAAATTAATAACTTTTTAAGGTAATTTATGTTAAATTTTTTAAATTTAGAATTCCTAAATCTATTTATTTTTAAAATATTAATCAATAAACTATCATATGTATATGAAATTTTTGATGACTACTTGAACGAATAGATAGATTCTATGTTAAAATGAATCATCTTAAAAAAAGAATATATTTTTTCTTTTGATAGATGTTAATAAACAGAAAATTATATTCTATTAGAACCTCTTGTATTGATTCTGGATCCTATTTACTGAATACAAATAGGAGGAAAAAAAGTATATCATATTTTCAAAACAATTATCTTATTCTGAATAAAATATTTGATTGAAATTCTCAAAGAAAAGTTAGACGAGGTTTGAGTTCAAAAACGTTTAGACTCGACGAGTTCTATTTTGTACATCCTTTTTTTTTTCATCTTCAATATACTCGATCAAGCCAATTCTTTTCACTAAAATATTCAACATTGAATATTGTCGAAGAAATGTAATGTATATTTTATTGTACGATCAACTGTTACAATCTGTTATGAAAGATAACAGAAAATATTGAAACATAAAAAAAAATAGACTAATCAAGAATTCCTATTAATATTTTTTTTTTCACGAAGTATTTAGATAAAAGAAAAATCTGAAGTAGTCACTTTGTAGATTTTAAAATGACTCTATTTTCATATGTATAATTTGGAAAAACATATTAATACGATTTGCTAGTGCAAGAAGTGCATTATGATTGTAAGAGTTCTTCAATAATATTGAAAAAAACATTTCATCTTTTAACAAAATAAATAAAATGTAGTCGAAGTTATTCATATACATTTTAAGTTTTTTGTCACCTCGAACTTAAGTGACAAAGAAATACGATCAGCACCCTAAAATTTGGAAAGCAAAAGAATTTTTATTTTCTATTGTCTAGAAAAAAATTGAATTTATTTCCACTAATCAAGATAAATAAATGAGGCTTTTACACTATATGAAAATTCATAGAAAACACAGTCCATTGTTTACAAAACCTATTTGAATAAATTATATTTATTCTTTTTAATATTTTTTGAATTTCTGCATAATCTTTCATGTCACCTTTTTACGTTCTAATTGTAAAATAAAATATTCCATATAATTTCTTATAGAGAATTCAACATTAAAGATTTTAATGAAAGAATTATTTTTATCAAGTGTATTTAAGAGAAAAAAATGAAAATATTAAGAATGATCTCTTTATCTAGATCAATTGTTATTTTATTGATTTATTTATTAATTTAAAATAAAAAACATTCATATTATGAAAATGCTGAAGTCGATATTACACTTATCTTACGAAAATATTGTACAATGAGTATATTGTATTTGATGAGCCGTAGATCATGTGTTTATAGATGCAACATTTATCGAAGAAATTCTTTAGCTAATGTTGACGTGAGACTTAGAAATAAGTACTTGGTTTAGAATTGAATAAGTCAAGAATGTAAGTAAGTAACAGCCTTTAGTTTTCTAGTATGAAAAGAGAAGATATGGAAACATCTTTTATACAGAACGAAATCATTCTGAAACCAATAATTTTTCACAAAAAAATTCAAAAAGATGAAAAAGAATGAGGTGTCATATAAGATCCTTTTTTTGCCAACAATAAGATACATTTTAATCGGATTCAAAGAAGAGTAAGTGTCCGTTAGATATTGTCTATATAATTCAATTGCAACATAATATACGCCAGGATATTGTAGAAGTAGCGTTAGAATAAGTTATTAATGTAACTATACAGGCTTTTATTAATTTATATGAAAGAAAATGTTTATAGTAAAACTTCTGGCATATATATGTATGGTCATGATCGAACAAAAACGCTCATTTTATAAAGATATTTATTATTAGAAGGTTTTGTGTTGGTTTTCTTCCATCTACATAAGTATTCAATTGTAATTATGTTTGTTTTTTTAATTAGCATTCTTTAGATCTATGAGCATGTTAGTTCTAAAAAGGACAATCGAAATCAATAGTGAACTGAAATGAAAAAAAATAAGAAAAAAAAAGAACAAAGAACAAAATTCGTAAAAAGATTGTCGAGCTTTCATGCTTCAACGAAATGAATAATACTTATGTATACACATGTAATTTTTTTTCTTTCTTTTCTTACGTTGTTGTCTTCCCTTGATTCAGTTTCGAAACAACATACGTTATTTTTTGTTTGCTCTCCGTGTTCTTTTCTCTTCTCGTCTCTCATTCTTATTGCAATGACGTTTTGGACTACATAACATGATTTCTTTTCTTCAATCCAACAACTAATAACTTTAATTTTTTTTAATGAAAGACACAGCAACATGTGTAGACATTATTTTAATTAACTAACTGTTAATAAAAAAACGATGAGATATTATACGAAGAACTTTTGCTCTTGTCTCATATCGGCGCTTTTTTTTTCTTTCAAATACGCACGGTTACTTCATCCTTGCCGTATGTATTGTATAATTGTTTATCATAGCGTCAATATTCATGAAACAGTTATTCTCTCGTTCTACGTGTGGATGGCAGAAAACTTGCTGGTTATATTATAGAAATTGTTATTGGTCATAAGACAAGAAATAAACGTCCACTGTTCACAATAAGAACGTGTTTCCGTAGAAAGATTTTATCATATATTAGATGTCATAGATTTTCTCTCTTGTTCATTTGTAGAGATAACAAATGTAAAAACAATCATTGAAAACAATGTCAAGTGTTTGATTGTACGATCGACGTAAGAAAAATGATTTATCTTATTAGATATGTGAGTCGGATTTCTTCCCTTGTTTTTTTTTTATATGTCAGCTTTGCTTGTATATATTGGTTCTATATATTAAAAGGTATGAAGAAATTTTCTTGTATAAGTAGTTATTGCAAGAGAAAAGAAGCAGCAATATTTTTTTCTTCGAGTCAGAGAACGGTAAGAAGAAAAAATGACTTCATGTTGACATACGAATTCACCCTTAAAATGTGACATCAGCTAGCACATAAATATATACACTTCTAGACAAAAGTTTTTTTTCTATTTACCAAGAAAAAGTAACTAAGGAGGTAAGGAGTAGAAGAAAAGACTTTTCTCTAAAGGTTTATTCATTTCTAATAGCATACATTCCTTCATTGTAAGTAATAATATCTAGTTTTTATTTGATGTTTTATGTTCTGATTGTATTAGTATTGTAAAATGTAATATTGTTAAAAATGTTTTATTATGACTGATATTTCATATGAAAAAACAAACAATCTGCTAATTTTTTATTTTTATTGTTAACCCTGAAAATAATTTCATGTTTATTTGTTCGAATGAATATTAAATATTTTTTGGACTTTCTTTTAATATTAAATTACAAACAATAAAAAACGATTTTTTAGTTGTAGTTATTTATGTTATTTATAAATACTAAAGAAATTTCTTCTTATTTTAATATTTGAATGACTGACAATTGCAGAAGATCTATCGAATATATAACCTAATAGAAATAGTAAAAAATGAAATTATATGTTAAAGTAATAATAGAACAAAAAGCTTGTTACAATCGAGTTATGTTAGACAATGACAAGAAACGTTTCTCTTTAAATCAAATATATTATTTCATTCGATCTATAGTTTTAGTTTTATTTAACGATAATGAAATGGATGAGATCTAGCGATTTCATAACAAAAATTGGACATTTTTCGAATTGTAGATATAGACTAATAGGTAAAATTCTATTGATAGTCGAAACTTAATTCCAGTTTCAAAAAAAAACCCAAGCCAATCCCATCTTGGGTTGTTAGATATCATTCATATGACTTGATATGTTCAAGATTAACAAACTATAGCTAAACATAACCTATATGATCCTAGTACTGAGCAGAAACTCATTTTGACCGCAATCAAAATCAATTGCTTTTTGTTGGGTCGAGACCGAGACTAAAAACGACTAATCTCGCTTATGTCTAGTAATCGCAGTTCAAGTATATAATATCATCTCTGTATAAAAATAAATATTCAACACACAAGATGAATTTTATACACTCACGCTTATATAATATATTTCGAAAATGAAATCAAGACATCTATTGATGACAAAAAAAGATTTTATTTTCATATAGTATAGTTCATGATTTTTCTATTTACATTTTCAAAAGATTCTATAAAATAAATCTGACGATTGGCTATTCTCTATGCATCTAAATATGTGACTCTTATCCTGCTTGTATGAAATTTCTAATAATTTAGTTAAAATTAATCATATTTATCCATATTATAACGAAATTCGCACGAGAGATACAAGAAAAACTGTACTTACTTTGGTGGCGATTTTTCAATGACTGTGCTGTTTTTTTTTCCAACTGTGTATGTTTATATCACAAACACGTGGCGCTTTCTACCTGAAAGTTTTCTCGTTCTGCATTTTTGCGAGACGACTTTTTTTTGTAAAAAAAAAAAAGCCTTGATCAAATAAGCTTTTATCACGAACCAGAAAGACTATAAATGATGACATCTATGATTGTACCAAAACAAGAAAAATTAAACTAAAATTTATTGAGAATAATTTATTATTGATAAACAAAGGATTACTATAGAAATAATAACTTTTAGAAGAATTTCAAACATTAGTACGAAAATAAAATGAAAAATTAGAATGTGAAATAATCGGTTTTGGTTCTATTTGTAGATAGATTATTACTTTGGCTTAGTCAAGAGATCTTGTTCATGTGTACATGAACAAGATCAACTGATCTCATAATCTACTGTTAACATAACAAACTTTGATAAATTATAAACAAAAATATCAAATCAAAATAAGATGCTTAACTTTAATGCTAATAATGGTGACGATTCATATTCATCATTGTCAGACGGTAGGTATCAAAAATTTAAGTAGAATCTGATGAAAAATCAATTCTGCATATTAAATGCATCAAATACTTTTTTTTTCATATTTATACATATTTATATATTCAGAAAATGACGAACATTCAACGACATCGAATAATCGTCATTCAATTCGTATTTATAAATATATTATCAAGTAATTTTAAATTTACAATTTTTTTATTTATATAGCTCTTGGAGAATCTGCTACAGATGAAACATCTAATAATTTACAACAAATGGAAGGTATAGTTCATTCTATGAATCGATTCTTGTTTCTATAAATAATATTTTAGATCAAGAAATTAATCGAGTTATTATTTATCATGAAGCAACAATATCACTAGGAGATTGGTTAATATTAATGTGTTTTTGTTTATTTTTTTATCAATATTATGATTTATTATTATTCATATTTATTATTCATGAAATAATAAATAATAGAAACAGATCTACTGTGCATATGCATCAATCTGAATTAAGATCTTTCAATTTACCAATTCATGGTGAGATTCTATTAGATGTATTTTTAGAATATTAAGTTTATATTGCAGGTTATTATCGTACAGATCGAGATGCGCAAGCAGAAGGCCGTGTAGATTGTATGTAATATTTTTAGATTCAGAAAAGAAAGAATTCAATAACCTGATATATTCAATTCATTATTTTAGGTCCAAGTGATGAAACTTTAACATTTTCGAGAGCTGTAATCGGTAAATGACTAAAATAATTTGTTCATAAAATTTTAGTTGTTTGTTTTTAGTCGTCAATAATGAACAATTATCAACCGAAGATACACAGCCACATGATGCAGGAGTTCTAATAGGTTTAAACAATAATCGACCTACATACTTTATGATAGATAATGAAAATGGTCATATCAATGAAAATGCAACATCATATACTACTATGAATGATGATATCATTGCTCAAAATCTACAAATTGGTAAATTGTTCGTTTTTTTTAAATATTTCCAAGTACATAATATTCCATATACATATTTAGGTGAAAATGCTCAAGTTCTAAATAATAATGATGCACCTGAAACTGCTCTTGATAATCTAACATGTAAGTTATTTACTATATTTCGATATTAGATAAATAAATTGTTTTTTGTTATATTTTTTATTTAAAAGGTAATATAAATCCTCTGAACTCAATTGAATCGCAAGATGATATGCAGTCCAGTGACAGTAGTGATGAAGAAGGTAAATATTACTAGTTGTTTCATAAACGAATTATCTTGATAATTTATGATTTGTTCATGTTATGAACATAATCTAATATTTACCTTCTTGTTTAGATCGAATTCTTGGTTCAGAAAGTGGTTTTGATAGTGATGATGAATATGATTCAAGCGACGATAATGAAGAAAGAAGTATGTTAGATAAATTTTATGTTGTTTTTATTTTTTTTTTTGATTTAAATGCAATACTAATAATTAGATCAAACATTAGAAAATAATGAAAATCTCATTAACCATGTTGAAAATGATAATCAATTAGATCATACAAATCCTGATAATGAACAACGATCTAGAACGGATACACGTGAGACATATTTTCATTATTTTAATAAAATACGTTACTTTCTTATTATACAGTTCTATCACACAATGAACCAATGGAAATGCAGGAAAATGTTTCTGCTCCACTTGAAGGTGCTCGTCAAACAATAGAAGATACTACTTATAGAATACCTATACTCAACCAGAAACAAACAGGTCTCACTGACTTAACTACTGGGTCAAGTGAAACAAGTACTGATTAATCGAATGCTTTATTATTATATAATACTCAAGAAAAAAATGCATTTTACTCAAGAAATAGGAAACATATTTTTCTTTTATTAGCACTAAATTCTCGTTGTACCTAGAGAATATGTAAAGAGCTTCGTTCCACTCAAAAATCAATTTTTATTTCGATACATTCAATTCCATAATCATATTTTAAGCGTATGTTGAAACGATAGTGTATAGCTTATGATAATTTTTTTACCTTTTGAATAATATGACATTTATAAAAAAAATATTTGTCAAATTAGAGCCATAAATCAGACCAATAATCTAGCTAGTAATCTATGTTATTTAAGATAATTTATTATACATAATTCTATTTATACTTGTTCAACAAAACATATTCAAATGAAGGATCTAAAAGAGTCTTTCTTTAAAAAATTATCAATGCACTTAAAATGTGAAAGAGGATGTCATTGCTAGTGCTAGTCATAGAGAGATTACTTTATTCTATCTTTTTTGAGAAATGCTTCTTCATTGTCTTTTTATTTAATGCATCACAAAGTATTTCAGATATTAGAACGAAACATTTGCTTGTATATCAACAATGTCTATGGAGGAGGGGCGGGTCTGCTGAAGTTTCTATCTATGTACTTTAGCATTCTTTTTAGAGCTTATTTGACAAAAATATTAATTTGGCATAATGTTCAAAAAAAGGCACAGATTGTTGAAAATAAACTTCAACGCTCAAAAACTTCTCTGTGATCTAAAATATCTTTAAAATCACATTTTTGAGCATTTTGCAAACGTTTTTTTTTTGACAATATCTTTCTGTTCGGGTAAAAAAAATCTTATGTTTTCGAAAACATTTAAATATAAGTAATCATCTCTAACACAGCTTGTTTGAATACTTTGGATAGCATTAAAAAAAATTTATGATTTGTTGTCACAAATAGACTTTTTTTTGGAGATAACGAGCTGAGAAATATGCAAGAGTATCAACATAATGTAGTGTTCTGAGACTTTATACTATCGTGTCACATACGTATCTTAAAATTTGAGAATTTTAATAATACTTGGTTAATTTTGAGTGGAACTGAAGAGTACTTCAACTTCTTGTTTCTTTTTATGTATGACTCGTATAATCACAGAAACACAATCAATTTGAAAATTTATGAAATTGTGATCTCGATAGAGAGTTTTTTCTGAATTTTATTGTTATTTTGATCATATTGAATAAAAAGAACATTTATTTTCCAGAAAATATATATTTGATCATTATTTGATTTATATGAAGTAATTAACTGAAAAGCACTAGTAGCACGAATGTGTCATCGGCGAATGCTTGCATTTTGAAAAATTTATTAGTGATAAGAAGCATCCTTTTTTCATTGATTATATCGTCACAAATTATTTTTTTTAAATTGAATTTCAACGTGGTGGCCTTCCTCATCTTCATACCCTACTTTGGCTTGATAACTTTCCTTCTATTGATACACTAGAAGGACGAAAAATTGTTATAGAATTTATAGATAAATTCCTGAGTACATGCTTACCAGATAAACAAGAAGATCCCGAAGGTCATTTACTTGTAAAAAAATATCAATGGCACATTCACACATTTACCTGTTCCAAAGGCTAGTAAATTGTTTTGAAAATATAATCAATTAATAGTAGAGTCTTTATAGGTATCAGTAAAGTTCGTATACGTCGAGGACGCAAATTTAAAGATGAAGAAATACAAAAAAATATTAAAGAATCTCAAATAAAAGATATCAATAAGAATTATTTACATCAAAATGAAATATATGAACAAGTTGATCCAAACAATGATCCTGATCTTTTACAATTAGCAAAAGAAAAAAAGGAATTTTTTGAACGATTGGGATGTCGTTTTGGAAGTCCTTTTGAATTGGCTAACGAAACACATTTTCGAACATACAAAGAAGCCCGCATATTGACAAGAGGTGATCGAGATATTATTATAAAAAGATTAACTGAAGAAGTGAGTTTCATTGATGAAATTTCTTTATTTTGCCTATTCCTTCATTTACATTTTTTACTTATTAGTTTCTTGATGACCAATTGTAGTCTAGACGAATAATTCCGTACAATCTACACTTTTTGAAAACATTTCGTTGCAATCATGATATTCAAGTTATTACCGATCCATGGGCATCTGCAGAATATTTATTTTCTTATGTATCAAAAGATACCCACATGGAAAAAAATTTAGCATATCAAATGTCAAATTGTACTTGTTCCAGTCTTATGGAAGCCAAAGCAATTCTTCTAAAAACAGGTAATGCAATACTGTCTCATCGTCAAGTTGGTAAAGTTGAAGCATCATGGACAGTACTGCGTATAGGAATACATCAATAATAAAATTTTTTTATTAGATGTAAATTATAGGCATTCCTTTATATCATTCATGAATAAGATGCAAAAGTTTATATATTTCTTTACCATGGGAAGAAGAAAGAATACTCAAACGTGGACGAACTCAGGTAAGTAGCATAGATGACTTTGTTGAATCACTTACACATCGATATGTGAAACGACCATTTACTCCTTCTGTAATTAATCACATGACTCTGTTTGGATTCTTAACTTGGTTTGATTATGATCGATCTTCTTCAATGCAATTACAAGAAACATTGAAAGAACCACTCGTTGAAAATCCTCTTTGACGTACTGACTTTAATCAACCACCATTACTGAAAACTTCAAATTATCTTCCTCGGATCGTTTTGTCATATGGTTCAGTATTGATTCAACATAAAGAACCAGCATGTATTAGTTCTACTTGTCGTTATGATGATTCAATGTTGGCTATGTACTCAATGCTTTCTATTGGAATACCATATCGAGACCCAATTGAGGAATTCCTGGGTGGTAAATTAGGTATTTTGTATAGATCCAGTAAATATATTTTATAAAATATTATGCATTGATTGTTTAGAAAATGATTTGAACGCTATCCATCAATTATTGCTGAAAAGTAAACCCGAGATATTACAACGATTTTCTACATTACCTGGAGCCTACAAAATACAAATGATCAATGCAATTGAACATTTATGTGACTTAAATGCTCATGATTTTATTATCAAACCAAGAACATCATTTATATTTACAACCGAAGATGAAGAAGACGTAGATGATGAAACAAGCAACAATATACAACAAATGAATGATAGTAACATTACCAAGAGTAATAAAGATTCCTGTAAGCGTGCTTTCTCTGAAAATATTGATGAAGATGACCAGGAACACTTGAATGCCAATGAAGATACGACAATCAATTGTCCTTCCAGTCGTACTGAAGAGTTGCTATTATCAGCCAATACACAACAGCTTTTTTTGGCAAATTGTTTTAGACAATATCTGGCAGCAATGATGCGATACGAAGAAAACCAATATCGCTCTCAAAAAATGTCAAAACCATTACCCTTTCATATAATTGTCAATGGTTTAGCTGTTTCTGGAAAATCCTATGTTATCTCTATTATTGAACAGATGTTAACCGACTTTTGTATTAGTGAATCAGCTACTCGAAATCGTCCATGTAGACGAAAAGGATTACTTAAGATGGCTCCTACTGGTAAAGCTGCTTTAAATATTCATGGTTGGTCTATCCATACTGCTCTAGGCATGGTAATTGTTAAATTGTTTTCATATCCTAAATATTCCTATCATTGCCAATTAGCGTCCCGGCAACACATCTACGCCAAATAATGCTCCATCCTTTAAAATACATTCGATTCGAAAAAGACTTGGTGATTTGATATTAATAATTATTGATGAAATTTCACTTGTCTCCTACAATCTTTTTCAAAAAGTGAACAAGCGATTAAATGAAATATTTGAAGTAGCTGACAAAAGTGACGTCTATTTTGGAAACATTCCAGTTTTATTATTTGGCGACTTAGCTCAACGTGAACCAGTTGCTGCCAAACAAATTTTTTGGTGACCTTCCGGTGAAACTTTCTCACTTTGATCCGATTTATTCAGACCAATCAACTTCAATATCAACATGCGACAAGGTGACGATAGACAGTTCTTCGATATTCTGTGTCGAATGAGATTAGGTACATCATTATTTGCTGATAATATATATGATAGTAAAGTTTTTTCAGGTGAATACAATGAAGAGGATGAAACGATAATAAAATGCAGAAGTATTCGAAAAGAAGATAACCCATTCCACTATAAAGAACGATTATCAGAATTACAGTCAACAGCATTTGAAAATGCTATATATGCATTCAGTGTAAGAACTAAAACAAATGAGAGAAACTCTATAAAACTTAGAGAAACAGCAATGAAACTGGAAAAGTCAATATGAATTATTCAACCCATTGATGTTCGTTGAGAATTATAAAAAAATTGCTAATGCTTATTAATATTTACCTTTAGAAAGTTGGCATGGCTCGATCATTATTTTTTAGTCCAGTACAAGCAAGTAAAAAAGAATGCAAAATTGATTTAAAACCTTCTGATGATGAAAATGAGTGTGCAAGTATGTTTGAGCAATTACCAATATGCATTGGTGCACGTGTAATATGTCGACGTAATATTGATTTTGATGGATAAATGGTGAACGGAACCGAAGCGATCATAAAAGATATAATATGGGATAAAGATGATGACATTGTCTTACCAATGTCAAACCGATGTGTTTTTCCAATTTTAAATCGAGCACTAACTGTAAAATTACCAAAATATATTGAACTCGGTAACAAAAAGAGAAAAATACAACTCAACATAATCTTTTTTTTCTGCACTAGAATTAGATAATGGTTCTATATATAAAATGACTCCAGAAGAAGTTAGTTTCAAAGATCAAAATGGAATATGGATGGCAAGGAAACAATATCCACTCAGCTTAGGCTATGCAATAACAGTTCACCGATCTCAATGCATGACTTATAATAAGCTAGTTGTCGATTTAACTGGTATACACTGGAAACCTGGTATGTTTTATACAATCTTGAGTCGTACACGAAGATTGACTGATATCATAATCTTGGCATATGATCGTAAATCATTCAAAGTAGCAAATTTTGTTATAAAATACTCTTTATCATGTCTTAGTATACTCGGTATCCAAACCAGCACTGAATGAAATGTCTCGTTTAAACAAAATCGAAGAACAATATCCGATTAAAATTGAGCAGTACTTGAAAAATGAGGTACTTTTTATTGTTTTTCATATGTATACATTTTTATAGATTACTATAGAGATACCTAGAGTGGTGTGTACCGCATTCATCTGATTCTAACCAAATATCAACAAGATTATCAAATACAAATAATGAATCAATATCAAATTGCATCAATACAAAACAAATACAATTACAATGCATGTTACCAGTCACAACTTATTCAGTAACAAAACCCGAACATGTTATCATTTGTGAGGAACACGAAGAACACTTTTGCGGACGACATGCTCTACGTGCACTCTCACAAAGACTTGATTTATTTACTGATAAGTATTTATTTGATATCGCTGAAGATATAGCAGCTACCGACCAAATACGTCAAAATGGACAACCAGTACAACTTACCGATTACTATTACAAAGACACGGATGATTATAATATTCAAGTGCTACAACTTGCTCTTCAGAATATATTAAATGTGCAGCTTTTACGAATCGATAAGTTAGAAGACAGTAGCTATGCTATTCGCAATCTTATTTTATCAAATGTTGAACATATTCAAGCATTTCGCATTCAACAAGACTATCATTATTATTATCTTCGTAGTTTTCGATCTAGTAAAGATTATTTCTTTACAATTGATTCTAAACATTCAATGTACCATGAACCTATTCGTTGTGAACGGTTATTCGAATATCTTGCAGAACTTGTTGACTCAAATTGCGCTATCTTTATCATCATGCAAGATACAGTACAAAATATTAATCAACAAATTACTATTGATAATATTCAAAAAGTATTATGGCCTTTACCAGATGCTCCTGCTGATTTTGAACTTTTTCTCAGACGTAATCAATTACATATATGATATAGCAACAATGAGAATTGCTCAGTATAATTCTCAAAAATAAAATAACAACAAATAAATATGGCAATCTAAATTTCATGATAAATTTATTATTAAAAGGAAATTTATAAATATTTGTATACATATGTTGACCTCTTTTTTAATTCTACCCAAGATTCTTTTTGCCATTCTAGAACTATAGATAGACAAGTTTTATTGAGCTTATTGTTTTTCTTCTTCAATAAATTTCATCCATAGAAGTATAATTTTCCCCTGCAGAAAAAAAAAACGTCAAATGCAAAGATTTCCGATCCAAATAAAAATTATGCATAAAGACATAATTTTCTGCTTTAAACGCTTCTTCATATTGAAATACATTCTTCATTTTATTTGCTCTATTATTGTTATAATTCAACTGTTTTTATTATTTTCTCATTAAAACACTTCTTAGATATATATATATATATAATTATACCTAACTCATTAGTAATCTTGCATATGTTGTACGTGTAAAATGATACCAATATCTTAGTTATTTTCTCAAATAAACATTAATAATCAAATGTTAAAAAAAAACATCTCTGAGTCACTAAACCAAACCTATATTTTTCTTATTCAATAACGTTTTACATCATTGATATTTATAATATTAGTATAAAGAAAAAAGAAAAAGCTATTTCACTAACGGTATCTAC